ATGGTCTTCTGATCCCAAAATAATCATGAAGGAAGTTTTTGACTTCTTCAGTGCCAAGTTCCATAAAAAATGGCCAAATAGACCAAAACTTGTTAGTCCCCTATTTAAATAAATCTCCTCGGTTCAAATGGTGTATCCGAATCCTTTGACCATTGATGAAATTAAGATGATGTTTGGAGATGTGGATGTGAGAAGGCATCGGGTCTGGGCAGCTTCACCTTTAAGTTTTTCAAAAAACAAGTGGGATGTTGTTAAGTATGATGTTTTCCGTTTCGTGAAGCATTTTGAGGAATTTGGGTGTATAGCGTGCGGATGCAACTCTTCTTTCATCACTTTCGTCCCAAAATGTAAAGACCCGCTCTTATTAGGAGATTATATAGTAATTAGCCTGATTTGAAGTATTTATACAATTATGGCAAAGATTTTAGCTATCAGGCTAAAAGGGGTTATTGGATCGGTAGTTGATGAGGTTCAATCGGCCTACATTAAAGGAAGAATATTCTTAATGGTCCTCTAATCATAAATGAAGTTTGTTCTTGGGCTCAGAACACTAAAAAGAAGATATATTTGTTTAAATTCGACTTCAAAAAAGCGTTTGACTCGGTAAACTAGAAATTTCTTCATTCAACCATGGATCGGTGCAAAGTGGAGATCTTGAATGTTTGGACGACTCTTATCCTCCCGGGCCTCAGTCCATGTTAATGGTTCACCGACGAAAGATATTACTAGAGGTTTTCGTCAAGGCGACCCTCTATCTTTATTCCTATTAACTATAGTCATGGAAGGGTTGAAAATGACACTAAAAAGTGCATGTAATAAATCTCTTTACCATGGTATCAAACTTCCAAACTCAGTACCTACCATTTCTCACCTCTTTTATGTACGATGCAATTTTCATGGGAGAATGGGAAAGTGATAGCATGCGCAATCTAGCCCGTATTCTGAAATGTTTTGAAGTATCGTCCGGTTTAAAAGTCAATTTCCACAAGTCTAGACTTTTTGGTAACGTAACCTCTGATCTAGAACTTAATAGGAGAGCAAGACTGATGGGATGTTTAAACAGATCCCTTCCTTTCATTTATTTAGTTGTACCCGTGGGAGAAAATATGATGTAGAAAAAATATTGGAAGTCGGTAATTGATAGATTCAACAATAAATTGTCGATTTGGAAAGCCAAAACTCTATCGTTTGGTGGTCGACTTACATTAATCAAGTTGGTTCTCGACAGCTTACCGACATATTATTTCTTGATTTTTAAATCCCCAACTGAGATTATGGATACTCTCGAGAAGATTAGGAGAAATTCTTATGGGGAGGTGGAGAAAATAAATCTAAGATTGCTTTACTCACTAAGTGGTGATGGAGATCCAAAAATGGAGCCAAACAACCTACGAAGGAATGTAATTTACTGCATTCACAACCTAACTAGGAAACCAGTGTCATACATATCTTAAAAAACAACCCTGGTGTAGTGTATGGTGTAGTGTATGGTGCGACATATCAAAGGCCATAAACAACCTTCCTTTGTTGGGCATCGATTTATTCGATTTATTCTCTCTCGCTCCAGGCTCTGATGTTGATTTTCTGTTCTGAAAAGACATGTGGATTGGACCTTATACGTTACAACACAAATTCGCACGCTTATACGAACTTGAAACTATAAAATGTTGCTTATTCTCTCATAAGTACCAAGGCAACGACTCTATTTCTTGGAATTGAAAAAAAGCTCCCAATTGAATCGAGGCAATAATGGAATTGAACTCTCTCTACTCCGTTCTTAGTGATGTTGCCTTCAATATTCCCCTGTTGGTTTTAATTTCAATCTTACCGCTGACGGTCGATTCACTGTTGAGATTATGAGAAAATGTATTGACTCCATGCTTCATCATTAAGGTGGTGTTTGTTTTTCTGCAAAAGCTCTTCTTGGCCTCTTATGTCTGCGCCGCGCAGACAACACGCATATGTTTGGTCTCGCAGACTGTTTGTTTTTTAGAAGACCGCAGACCTAAAAAGGTCTGTGCATCCTCTTCTTGGCGCAGATATGGACCTATGTCTTCTAATATCTTCTAGCATTTTTTTTACCTCTTCCACAATATGTATTTAACTTTTAATATATATATATATATATATATATATATATATATATATATATATATATATATATATATATTAGTGTTGTTTTTCATTTTTTATACTTTTTTCCTCCTCCTTTTTTTATGTATTTATTTGTTACTTTGTTTATTGTTTTTTTATATCATAGTTATGTATTAACCAAAATGCTTATGTTTTTGATTATGTATTTGTTTTTGTCTTCAAATAATATATTTATCCAAATAATTTTGACATAGTTTTATAGATATTTTTATTTTTGTGCAATGTAAGTAAATCTAGTAACTTTTTTTTATATTTTTATGTTTAAAAAAACCGGTATATCTAAATCTCAGTTTATTTTAACAACATGCAGACGTTAAAAAACAAACAGTCTTCTTCTTGTAGACTGCAGACATTTGGTCCACCTCTTCTACTGCAAATGTTTGCGGATATGGTCCACAGACTGCAGATATTTTTCTCCGAAAAAACAAACAACACCTTAGTTGGACACTTAAGATGTTGGTCACAAATTACCCCATTCAGAATGTTTGATGCATCATTTGGAAGGTTATGTTGGGTAGAATGCTAGTTGTTGATACGTTACTTAATAGGGGTATAATGGTTAAATCTCTTTCTTGTCTCTTATGTTTGGGCGAAACTAAAACAGTGAATCATGTGTTTATCAATTGTCATACTGTCGTTATTGCTAGAGATTGGGTTCTTAACCGGTGTGGTATTCCATCTCGACAGTTTTGTGACGTGTCTGAATTTGTTGATTATGCTGCAAACCGAGGCAATTGTCCACCATAATCACTGATAAGGTTATTTCTCTCTCATATGTATGGTGTAATTTTGGAAGTAGACTAGGTGTTGGAATATGGGTAGATTGGAGTATTTCGCCCTTCTTACACTTATCTTGTTTGCCTGCGTTTTAGCTTCTTGATAATTCAGGGGTTTTGTTCGTTTTATCATATTTTACCGTTTCCTAAAAAAAATCTAGAAAAATCATTAAGGTCGATGGTTAAGTTGTCACTGATTTTGATGAATTTAGCGATGAAGTTTATTGTTTTGATGCATCCATCCCTAATCCTTCAAATTCATCCAAAATAGCCATAAACTTTCGTATCTTTAATGTTTTTTTTTATTTTAATATTTAACATTATTTGTTTTGTTTGATCTTTTCGTATAACTTAAAAATTGAAGGTCTTACTTTATTTTACCAACTTATACATATTCTACACATATTACATGTGTAGACAATCAAAACTCCACCATTTTATACAGAACTATAGTTTATTTGTGTGTGAATGTATAAGGATCTAACAAAACTATGATGCCTTGTGAAACACATAACATAATTAGTGGGTGTTTGGGATAGCTTTTAAAAAAAGTTTTTTAGCTTTTCAAAAAGCTAATAAGCTAAAAAAAATGTTTGTGTATTTAAAAAACGCTTTTTAAAACAGCTTTTTGGATAGGAAAAAGTAAAACTTTCAAAAAACTGGATAATCCTAGCTTTTTAGCTTTTTAGTCATTTTACTTCTAAAAAATCAGTTTTTCTTATCCAAACACTTTTTAAAATCAGTTTTTACTAAAAGACATAAGCTAATAAATGTTTTTCTTAAAAATCACTTTTGAGATAAAAAAATTAACCCAAATATACCCTTAAACATAAATATTAAATGTATTCATGATGTAATCAAGCACTTATATGAATATCCAATGGAAACAATCAGAAATCTTTTAAGAGTAAATTACACAAATGGTCTCTATGGTTTGGGGTAATTTGTGCGTTTGATCCCTAACTTATTTTTTTAACTCGGAAAGTCCCTACTTTTTGTTTTTTTTTACGTGCATTGTCCCTACTGTTTGTTTTTGTTACACGTTTGATCATTGTCTTACCTAAAAAGACTATTATTTAAATAGCGAAAATTGTGGGTAGGTAAGATAAGATGAGGGGTGAGTTGGGGTGTGTTTATTTAAATAAATTAAAAAATCAATGGCAAAAATAGTCTTTTTAGGTAAGACAGTGACCAAGCGCGTAACAAAAACAAACAATAGGGACCTTCCGAGTTAAAAAATAAAGTTAGGGACCAAATACGCAAATTACTCTAAACCATAGGGATCATTCGTGTAATTTACTCATCTTTTAAAGTTTGTTCACTTATGTTGTTATTTTAATAATTTTTTAATAATCCGCCGCTAATTTTCAAATATCAGCTTTAGACTGTAATTTCAGTGAAACCTTTTGATCCCCAAAGATATTAGTATATTTTCTATAGTCAAGTTAGCGACCGGTTATAAAGATTATTACAATTTGGTGCTGAAAAAATGAATTGTTTTCCGGATTATCGATAGACTTATTTTTAAAAGGTTAAAGAATGAAATAAAAACTGCAACGTAAAGGGATTCTAAGTCATTTAATAAATAATATAAATGTGGATGCCTAACAAGCTAACATATAATTAGTTGAATGCAAATATACAAATATGGCTAATCAAAGTTTTGAATATTTTATAACATTTTTTGTTAAATTATATTTTTAAGTTTACAATGATTAAGAAATAAATTTATATTAAAACATGTAGCCCATCGATATTGATATTAGGTGTTTTGTAGAAAAATGGAGTGTGTTGTACTTGCCTGTTCAAAAAAAAATTATATTCATTATGAAGCATAAACCGAAAATAAAGGATGTAAAAGAACAACTTTTTTTATTGATACCTTTATTATCAAACCCAAACAGAAAAAAAAAAAAAAAAAAGACGCAACTATTTATTGAAAACATGAATCAAAGTACAAGTCATTTCCGTACAACTTTCAACCCTTCTTGTCTTGCTGAATTATTGTGTGTCTTGATGTTTTAGAATACTAACTTGTACCTATCCTTAATTAAAGACAACGGTCACTCCTTAATGGTGAGGAGGAGGTGGTGAACTATAGATATAATGTGGGGGTGGGTACTTTTTAACCGGGCTTGGAGGAGGTGGTGGGGATTTGTACACAGGGGTTGGTGGTGGTGGAGATTTGTGGACATGGGTTGGTGGTGGTGGAGATTTGTATACGTATGGTTTCTTTGGTGGTGGCGGGGGTGGAGACTTATTAACCGGAGGAGGTGGCGGTGGTGACTTATAGATGTAGTGTTTCTTCGGTGGCGGTGGAGACTTGTGAACTGGAGGTGGTGGTGACTTGTAAACGGGTGGAGGTGGTGACTTGTAAACGGGTGGCGGTGGTGACTTGTAGACCGGTGGTGGTGGTGACTTGTAAACATAATGAGGTGGAGGTGGTGACTTGTAAACAGGTGGTGGTGGTGATTTGTGAACTGGTGGTGGTGGTGACTTGTAAACAGGTGGCGGCGGTGATTTGTGCACCGGTGGTGGTGGTGACTTGTAGACCGGTGGTGGCGGTGATTTGTGCACCGGTGGTGGTGGTGACTTGTAGACCGGTGGTGGTGGTGACTTGTAGACGTAATGAGGTGGAGGTGGTGACTTGTAAATAGGTGGTGGTGGTGATTTGTGAATATGTGGTGGTGGTGACTTGTAAACAGGTGGCGGCGGTGATTTGTGTACCGGTAGCGGTGGTGACTTATAAACAGGGGGTGGTGGTGACTTGTAAACCGGTGGTGGTGGAGACTTGTGAACCGGAGGTGGTGGTGGTGACTTGTATACATATGGTTTCTTTGGAGGTGGTGGAGACTTATAAACCGGAGTAGGAGGTGGCGGTGACTTGTAAACGGGTGGTGGTGGTGATTTATACACCGGTGGTGGTGGTGACTTATAGACCGGTGGTGATGGTGATTTGTAAACATAATGATGCTTAGGTGGTGGTGGTGGTGATTTCTTTGGTGGAGGAGGTGGTGGAGATGAGTAAGGGTAGGCTGCGGTGGTCAATGAGGGCAAACATAAAGAAACAATAACTACCGCAAGAGATATTAGAAGGGTGGCCATTGAAGACATCTTCCTTTTTGTTCCCATTTCTACCAATAGAAGTGGGATTTGAGTTATGAATTTGAGACAGCGTCTAATCCTTTATATAGGTGAAATATCTCTATTTTCTAATTAAAACTGAAAATAATATATAGATATAAAAAACTAATTAAAAATTTTCGAAATGAATCTACCAACTACAATAAATAAAACTATATACATGTAAACTAGAAGACAATATAATGCATGCAAAGCCATCGTATTCCCACCGTGGAATACTTCAACGTTTGAGTTATTTGCTTTTTCTTTTATTTATTATGATAATTTAATATTAGTTATTTTTTAATATGGAGGTGAAAATTAATTAATTTATGAAGTACTAATGGTAATATATATATATATATATATATATATATAATATATATATATATATATATATATATATATATATATATATATATATATATATAGGTTCAAATGTTTATCACATCTATTGTGTGCTAGAATACACCAATATGAATTTAGTATTAATTATATGTATATTAAATGTTATCCATACTTATAACTCATTTTTATGGAAACTAATTAAATTCGTCATTAATTTCAACAATAATATTCTTTCAGAATGAATTCATATCTAGAAGAATGAGAGTGTATTCTAGCAGAATGAGAGTGTATTCTAGTAGAATATACTCTCGTTTTTCATATTTCATACAACTTTATTGTATTTTAAGTGAGTGAATCATGAAACAAAATATGAACTCATATATAAAAACCTAGATCCTGTAACCTAGATGCGAATTTATTCTGAAAGAATGTTATTACTGACATTAATGACAGATTTAATTACTTTCCATAAAAAGAGAATTATAATTATGGATATCATTTACCAAAGGTCTTCTAGCCTAGCGATATCCGGTGTTGCCCTCCCTCCTTGAGGTCGAGGGTTCAAGTCTCGTGAGAGACATAGGTGGAGATTTAGGTGTTATATAGGAGTAGAATAGAATAGATTAGCTGTTCCAAAAAAAAAAATTATGGATATCATTTAATATACATATAATTATGGAAATCATTTAATATCTGTATTTATTTAATTAAATAATTATTTAATTTACAAAATTCCTATTGTTGCATTCTAGCATACAATAAATGTAAGAAACAAAATAACCTAGCCCTATATATATATATATATATAATATATATATATATTATATATATTATATATAGAGGCTTAAGTTATTCTATTCAAAGTAATTATTGTGTTATTGTATGCATAAATGTGGGTCAATCATTTTACTTATTTTAAGAAAGTGATTTACCTATATTATTAAATAAAAAAAATAGAATAATGTCATTTAATTAAAAGAAGGGTAATATTGTACATTTGCATTGCCTTAAAATTAGGAAACCCAAATTCTTTTTTTTTTTAAAAAAAACAAACTTTCAGATTTTAATGGATCTTTGATTATCTTAATTTTTTAATTTTGATTTTTTTAAATTAAATTTAGTTAAATAATTCTAACAATAATTTTAATCATACCCGGTTTTATTCTGTCAAAATGACATTCTTTTTATAATGATATTCTATAAAAATGCAAGCCATAAACTAATAAAGAGACTTACTTCTCGCAGAATAAACAAATTTTTAGATACAAGTTAAATTTTTTCTATCACATCCTTAAAAAAATAAAAAACTTTATATTTTATTCTATAATAATGAAACACTCCCTAATAACAAAGAAATATAATATGTGGATTATTCTATTGGAATATACTATTACATATACTCTTATCATTCTATTATAGATTAATCTAACAGAATATGACAATGAGTAGTGCATTTTTCTGGAAGATCGGTGACCATTGAGGATTGTTCATGTCTATCCCACACGCACTCATCCAACCATCGGGTCATTGATCATCATGTACTTCATTCATTCTATGAGAATAACTGTCATGAAATTGAATTATGTAAGAATAAAACTATGTGAGAATGCTTTTATACGACAAAAATAAAACAAATTTTAGTAATTCTAAGAGAACTCATACTACATGTTAAAATCAAGTAACACAAATAACGAACTTGTAAATTATTTTTGTGTTCTTCAAGAATTTGAACATCAAGTTTTCTTTCAGACATTTCTACAAACACCTGGTGTGCAATATTCTCATAGAACTATTTTTGTGTTCTTTAAGATTTCTAAACCGCCATGACTTGTTAGAATCACATAATTACTGTTCACGAGAAATATTTCCATGAAAAAAAATCAAAAAAAGAAGATGAAAATACTTACAAAATCAGAACATGAAAATACCATAAATCGGGAACACGATTTTTAACCTCGGGAACACGATTTCTATCCTCGGGAACACGATCCTAAATGGGACATCCAGACTCCTGTTAATCACCGCGTTCTATTTTGTGTCAGAGTCATGGTTGCGCACTGGTTTGCAGCATTTGAAGCGTCACAACTGTTCGAAGCAATCACCTTATGTGAGCTGAGTTAACTAGCTATGTGATGTCAGGTGTGTGTTCCTCAACAAATGAAAACCGCACCAGTTGTCTTTGTTCTTTCAGCAATCCAGCACATATACACGAGATACAGAAAGCATAAGAATGAAATCGAGGAAGTGAATTAGAGGACTTACACATTGGCATCTTCCCTCCCAAGAAGTTTGACAGGAGTTCCAGATCGGGGAGACATGAGAGGAGAAGCAGAGAGCTCATCGGGGCCCAGGATCTTACCCGGCCACCACGACCCATTCCGCCTCCGAACCCAAACGATGGTCCCAACACCGCAATCAACCATGCCTGTTTCTGTGTCAGAGCTCATCGGAGGCGCTCAGTCCCTGCAATCCCTCTATGAAACTGTGAACCAAACGAAGATGGAGTCAATGACGAAAACGAAGTGGGAGGCTGCGGAGAAGGACCATGTGTAGGAACTCCTATGGACATCTCGCCCCTCTGCGTCGGTGGGATTAAAGTTAACGAAGAAGAAGGTCGATGTTTTCTATCTAGGGTTTTAAAGCGGTAAATATAAACGATTTTGCCTAAATTAAAGTGTTTATGATTTAAATAATTAATTACCAAAATTAATTAAAAGCTAAGATTACAATTTTACCCCTATCTAGGTTTTTAAATTGATTGGTCCACATTTATGCATACAATAACACAATAATTACTTTAAACACCATGAAATTATTTGAATTGGAAAATCTTAAAGTTCAAAAAAAAATCTAATGAAAAAACTTACGGTCAAATTCTAATACAATTTTATCCACGAGGGTGCTATGTCAACATAGTGTCCATGTGCAAGTTTTTCAAATATATATATATATTTTATTTTTATTATTTTTTAGATATTAATATTGTTATTAACTTATTATTATTATTATTATTATTATTATTATTATTATTATTATTATTATTATTATTCACCATTATAATTATCATTGTTAATAATAATACACCCCCACTTAACCAATCTCTCTTATGTGCATTTCCATTTCATCACAATCGATGATCCCGTTTGGTAACTATGATCATGTATCACGACCGCATCTCATGAAACTCATATTCATCCCTAACTCCTTAACTAGTGCCCCCGTCAAAAGAGAACTTTTGAAATAACTATCATGTATTCATCTTCTCTGCTAAGGGCAATAAGATCTATGACTCACCATCGATCATCGTCATCATAATAATCGAATAACACAAATCTATATTTATCATTGAACACAATTCATTGAATGTAATGTGTGGTTCTTTATTTTTTTCGTATAAACATTATTTCGATGTTCCCCTCATAAATTTGAAAGGTATGAACATTTTCTTATTAATTAATGAAGAACATAATACATCGATTATTTATGGAAAGATAGTCATGCGTAGTAGAGAAATCCGAGAAACCCAGATGAACCAATCTCATCACTCACTCTCAAGTTGGACCATGAAGATCACTTACACCCAACTAGTTATGCAAGAATCGAAAACATTTAGCTCCAAGTGCATTAGTGAAGATGTCTGCAATTTGAAACTAGGAACGTATAACACATGTTTCTATGTCATGTTTCATTCATTCACGATAAACAAGATTTGGTAGCTATATGGCGAGTTGCCTTATTGTCACATATTAGAGGTGTTCCTCGGTGTGTACTACACTAGATTGTAAAGTATGCACCTTAACCATAATACTTCACAAATAGTGTTTGTCATAGCCCGCCCAATACTCTGCTTCAATTAAAGATGTCGATACCACAATCAACTTCTTTTTTCTCCATGAAACTGGCAATCCTAGAACACTAATAAAATATCATGTGCACAATCTTCTTATAAATGGAAACTTAATCATCTAGCGTCTCAATGTATGTTTCTATGTAATGATTTCTATCTCTTGCTAAGTTGATTTTTTCATAAAAAACACAATATGAGGTTAGAAAAAGTATGCTATTCATGACATTGTGTTTACCTCGGAATGAATGATACTAAGAGTTTATGATGCCATTGGTCAAAGTATTATAACCTGAGGTTATAATTTTTATGGGTAGAAACGATTTAAAGGTACGAAGACTTTTAGCAAACACGGTACAAGATTGGCCACCAAGAAATACAAAAGCTAGAAACAAAAACTGGTCACGTGATATATTGGAGAATGGTAGTACAATTTGATTAATTAAGAAGAAGATACACAAGCAATATGACATGTTGGATTGATCGGAGATGTTTGCCTTTCAATATTTTGTAACTAGGGGTCTATTGTGGGCACGTTGTGCAAGTTTGAAAATAATATAATTGAAAATTGTATATAATATACACCCCCATATATTACACGAGTTTATTAAAAATAAAAATTTAATATGAATATATATAAACATTAGATAAGTTATAAAATAATGTTTTTCCATAAGAAAATGTAATCTTTTAGAGCATTTATGAAAGAAATCAAATCATTTGCAACATTTATGAGAATTTATTATCATAATTAATATAATGATAACCTTTTATATATATATATATATATATATATATATATATATATATATATATATACATAATAATAATAATAATAATAATAATAATAATATTTTCATCATAGAACTCGAATGAAAAAACATAATTTCATATTCAATAGGATAATAGAATCAACAACAACACACTGAATAATATCTATAAACTACTACAGTGAAGATTATATATATATATATATATATATATATATATATATATATATATATCAAATAACAACACCTAAAAAGTTGAGAACACGAAAACAATTCTAGACCAATTAATATATAAGGGCATATTAGTAATTTTATATTTTAATTAAATTAAAATAAAATAAATTCAATCAAATTCCCTTAAATTTAGGAACAATTACCAAAAAAGAAAGAAATATTCGATTTTTTATTTTTTTTATTAATGGAATATTAAAAACATTTTTACCAAAAAAAATTTTAAAACTGAAAAAAATTAATTTCTTTTTCTTAAAAAAATAAATTTTTTTCTCCTATTTCATGTTTTTTTTTTCAAAAAAATGAATAGAAATCCAACCCTAAATAAATACATTTGTATTCAAAACGATTTTTTTTTTCAAAAAACTTAATACTACTCCAATCACAAATGAATACACATCAATACAAGTAATCCAATTCATATTTTTAATCAATTGAAAATAAAATGTGTGTAAAAATTATCATTTCTTCATAAAAGAATACCTCTAATCATAAATAAATGCACTCATTCACACATGATTACACTGCTATTCACACATGATTACACTGCTATTCACAAATGAATACATTGCTATTAACAAATGAATACTCAACTATCCACAAATGAATAAATGAATACCTTTAATCATAAATAAATACATTCATTCACACATGAATGGACAACTATTCACAAATGAATACATTGCTATTCATAAAAAATATACACATTCTATCATAAATGAATTCATCAAAATATAATATAAATTACATCTAAAAAAATATAGAACATAATACAATTTTTCATTCTCCTCTAGCTCAAATTCTTCACCTTTCGTCTTCTCAAACAACTCCAAAGGACCTCTACAAAAACCCATACTCAAATACCCATATATCATTGAGTTCAATCAACTTCCATGCACAACCTTTTCCTGTGAATATGATTCCAAGTCTGCTTGGCTATCTTTCAAGGGGAAGGTCGATTGTGTGATGAATCTGGTTGAAGATACTGATAATCAAAAGACACCAAAACAATTTTATTCATTGATAAATATATAAGTAAAATATGACTAATATTACATGTATATACTATTCATAACTTTTGTTGTTACCTGATCTATTTGTTTGTATAACGCCCTGTTTCGAATCGTTTCCCATTTCGGGGTGGTGATCAAGGATTGGGTATTAGTAAACTTAGGACCCTTGAAGAATTGAGATCTGGACTCATTTAGAGGTGCATAATGTAATTTGGAAGATCCAGGTGTTCGGTTTGTGTTCTGGAGCCAAAGGGTATTTTGGTAATATGTCAGCTCGGGCTTTTATGGAAATTGGATGTTTGTTTGGGAAATTATAAGGCAAGTATGAGTTGATTAAAGCATAGAGCTTCTCGTTACCTTTTCATGGATATAAGGATCGACAAAATCGGATTTATAACGAAGAAGTTTTGGCCTTCGGGGTGCTTTAGGGTTTAAGAGGAAACCCTAGTACGCGGGGCTACAAGTGCGAAAGGTAGTACACGAGGCGTAATATGTTGTACGCTTAGCGTACATCGAAGGAAGGATTGGGAGCATGAGGCCTCGTACACTGGACATACGATGAGTACACGGGGCGTACGAGGAGTAAGTGGAAACCCTATTTTAGGATGTTGTACCATATATAAGCCCTTTAATTCTCCAGGGTTGGCCTCTTTACCAGCCTCTAAGCCCCCAAAACCCTAAAAACCGTCCTTTAGCCTCTGTGGTGGTGTTTTTGAGCTCATTGTATGTATTTTGGTGTGTTTTGGTTCATATTCAAGAATATGGAGTTTGGTGCAAGGTTGTAGATCAAGAAAGAGCTTGTGGATCATGATTCTCTACTTTATTTCCAACTTATTTGTGGCAAAAAGCTATGACCTTGCTCATTAGAAGCTTAGATCTAGTTTATATGGGGTTTGGACCCTTTTTGGCCCCATTAATGAGATCTAGTGGTTGGGCACCACTCCAGGAGCTATGAGTTGCCACTCATGGTGTTTCTGAGGTTCTAGATTCATAAAGTTGGCACCTTTAGGGTTTAGAATCCCCCATGCATGAAATTGTGTCCATTTGGTGAAAGTATAATGTTATATCTTGAAGTTGGGTTCTTTTGGGGCATGTAAAGTCACAAAGTCAGTGACTTTATGGTTATAAACATTTATTAAGAAGTAGATATGTGGTTTGGACTTCTGGACTTAAGCATTAAGAGTTTAATGAAGAGTTTGGCTTAATGGATGAGTACGTTGAGTGTACAAGTCTGTACGCGCAGCATACAAGCCAAATAGCATGTACGCTTAGCGTACAACTGAGTATGCCCCGCGTACTCAGTCAGGTGGGATTTTGCATATTGGGCTTCGGTTTGGGCCATCTTTTGGGCTTGGTTGTCTTGGGCTCTGTTGGGCCATCAGGTTTTAAGGCTGATAATTATTTGTGAAGGCCTATAATGGGATTTGGGCCCAATTTGGAAAATTGGACCATGAATTGGGCCTTGGATGGCTAATTGGGTATTTGGGCCTTTTGGATTATTAGGTTTGGGCTTAAGTCTTTGTCCAAACTGGGTAAAGGGGTAAATTGGTCATTTACCCTAGTAATGGTCTGATGTTTGGATGGGAATC